CATAATATATATACTTAATATATATACTTAATATATACACTCAATATATATATACTTAATATATATAATTAATATATATACTTAATATATATACCTAATATATATACTTAATATATATATATACACTTAATTCGATTACTGCCCAATTGTCATATCATTATTGAATCATTACTTTTTAAAGCCAAATATTCCTAACTTTCCAATGGTGACGAGAATGGATAATGCCACTACTAATAGTACCATTACAATTATCATTGCCATGATTATCATTATCAAAAAGTTTTAATGACAACCACACTGATAATTCGAAGTCATGGTGTTTTTGTTATCACGATTATCACTATTATCAATGTTAATATTGTACTTATTATTATTGTTATCAGTATAACAAGTAGTTGAAAACGGATAATGCCAATATCAATAGTACCGTCATAATTATTATTACCATGATTATCGTCATCAAAATACAACTATAATCCTACTGATAACCTGAACGGTCTTGATATTCTTGGTATCATTATTACTACTATTGTCCATGATATTATTGTAATTATTATTCTTATTATTATTGTTATTGTTATCATTATAAAAATTATCATTACTGCAAGGATTTGGCCAGTGCAACTGGGAAACCTGTCAATTACGAACTCCAGCACCGCTATTATTTTTAGTTCCCCCTTATAATAAAAATCCTTTACTACATGTAAAATTTTATTGAAAAAAAATGAATTTACCTCAATTATAGAGTCATCATCTTTCCTTCGACTGACTATTGTACCATAACGATTCCATTTCTGCAAAAAATACGAAAATGTGAGTTTTTAGCGATAATACTGGAGGTACCAATAACAAAAATATAGCCTACAAAGGTGAAAGAAATGAGGAAGGGGCAGTGCTAAAATCAGTAAATCTAATATATTGGAAAATGTTAATATGTTGGGTTTACTTGCTGGGCGTTTCCCCTGATGCTCCGGTTTGTCCAGCTGGGACGTCGGCTCCTTGGTGATGGTTCGGGGTAACAGCAGGGTCCAGTCCCTCGTCGTAAGTCGACTGGGTCGCCTCCACAGTTCCGCACCCCCCACACCGGATCGGCACTACTTTACAATACTGACACGGCGGCCTTATATGGGCCGCTTTCGCGCTATTACACGACTTACCTAGGAGGGAGTCATGATGAAACAAATATATCGGTTGCAAGTGGCGAAACTATTTATAATACATGAAAAATCAGTCAAACAAAAAAAAAAAATTAATCTCGCAAGTGAGGTAAAACTGGGACAAAATTTGTTTGTGAAGAAGCTGGCAAAGCTAATGCATCAATCACATATGTGTTGATGCGAATTCAGAAAGACTGTTCGATTTTTTTTGGAAGCAAATTTAAAAAAAACTTTTTTGAAAGCAAATTTTGAAGAAAGGAACTAACCAAATATCGCTGTGAAAGATTTTCCGGTGTCGAACCACTCACAAAAGTTTTTGGTACAGTTGGAGGTTTGTATGTCTGTTGAATATATGTGACTGCAGATTGTCTCTTCCGCTTGTCCAACGTATCTGTGGAACCAAGAAAATGTCCCTCTTCGTCAAATCCAAACGATTTTTTGATTGCACCCAAATCTGCCGATGCTAAAAATTCATTTTTTTTTATCCTATAAAACTTTGTTCGTTTATATTTTTTGAAAAAAAAGCTTTCTAAAAAAGCCAAATAAGGTGGAGTAAATAAGGTCAAGTAAAACGAAGGTAAAGTAAGATAAAGCAAAAACAAGATAAAGTAAAGTAAGGTAAAGTAAAGTAAGGTGAAGTAAAGCAAAATAAAGTAAAGTAAGGCAAAGTAAAGTAAGGTAAAGTACAGTAAATTAAGGTAAGGTAAGTTTCGCAAAATATTTCAATGAAAAAAAAGCCATCCTCATACATCGGGAAGCTTCTTCGTCATCTTCAAATTTCACTGCATTCTGACCCTGCGAATCCGCCATTTCCATGTCCATTTTATCCGCTTCATTATTCCTCTCAATTCCTGTACATTTGCTCAGCGAACAGATATACTCCTGAAATGATCGAAATGCCTCCAAATCCGTGCGCTGCGCATATCACTTAGATTTTTTCATTCAAATACCACTAAGGAGTACAGGGTCAAGAGACGCATGAACTTGAAATTAGGGCAAAACAGAACGGAAAAATCTTGCCAGCTGCTTCGCCTACCATCCGAAGTAATATAACAGTGAAAAAGTTATAAAATCAAAAACAGAAATTCAAAACGCAAAAAACTCAAAAAAAGAAAAAAATTCAAAAAAAGCCAAAAAAACGGAATTTTTCTTGTAGAAAAAGTCAACCCCCCC